GACAAGCCCATCACAAAGCCAGCATGAAACGTAGCGATCTGACTCGCTCATAATGTTAAAAAGGCAAGACATAATAAACAACAAGAATGAAAATCAAATAAAAGAGTAAGTAGCAAAATTTAATAGATATATAATAAATTAGGTGTTAATAAAATATTAAAATAAATTAAGAAAACAAACGCAAAATAATAGTTTATTAAAGTTTAAAACCAAGACAGTTTGAAAAGGAATATAGCGACAGTTTTGAGCACTGTAACAAATAAAAGCTACACGCAACACAGCTGTGAATAAATAAGTAAATGAGATAAATAAAGAAAGAAAATAGAAAACAAAACAAAATGAAACTAAAAGCAGACTGGCACCAAAATTCGAAAGTTTAACTTTTAATAATGCACAAAACCTAAGAACATTTAATACTTATATTGCAACAAATCAGTAAAAATCAATTAAACTTGAAGAATTTTGTAAAATAAACACAAAAGTGTGCAGTCAAAAATTACAGCTTTAGAGCTTGAAGTGCACACCTATTATTAAAGAATGTATCAAAATAAGAAAGCTTAACTTTGTCAACTGTGAAGAGATTAATTGCATTAGGGAGCAGATAACTTGAGAGCCAAACACACAGGCGTGAGAGTGTCAGTGAATCCAGGAACCTCGATTCTCTCACAGCATATACTTACTAAAGATCTGCGTCTCCATGTTTACAAAATTCAATTATCATAACAAATGAAGCCTAATGACAATGCACAGCAAAGAAAGTTTGTTGAATGGATTATTGAGCATCAACAAATGGATGCTGATTTTGGCCAAATCATCTTAAGCAATGTAGCACATGCATCCAGTGTCTCGTTTGGTTGAAAGAACACCTTTTCTGGACAATAAAATGTTCGCACAAGTTTATTACCCTATTCTAGAACTGAGTACAATTGGCCGGGCATAAAGTGCATACGAAATTTTGTTTTTGATGATTTATCTTAAAGGATTTAAACAAATTGAAAATTTTTCCAATAAACTTGAATTCCAACAAAGATTCCTTAGCAAATACGGAAGATCGCTTATGCACAAAAATATGCAATGTACTGCATTCACGGAGTTCGAGATGTTATCCAAATGTGGACATTGCTTTCCGTATTTATTTAGTGTTCCGACAAGTTCAGGAGAAAGATCTTTCTCCACTCTAAAAGGGTAAAACCTCTGAGAGCAGCATGATCCAAGATAGACTTAATGCTCTGGCATTACTATCTATTGAAGTTCAACTAGTCCAAGAAATTAATTATGACGATGTTATCGAAAACGGAAATTTTCAAATTGAATAATTTAAAAATATTTATTATTTATCTGTTTAAAGTTTATAATTTATTTATCAGTCAAGTTTATAAGTTTAATTTAAAAATTATATTTCGATAAAAAAGATATTTTAATATAAAATATTGGATCGAAATTAATGAAATTCATGTATCTAAAAGGGCGGCGCATCGAGGTCCTAGGGCGGCAAAGCCTAAGCCCGTCGCTGCACCTGAATGTTGTTCATTACAAGATATTTATGTGTACATTGCACCAAATTCTCTAAATTTAAAACGGTAGTCTAACAATTCCACTTTCAATGTTCTCCATTTCCTTTAGTTTATCCTCAGTGTGTTCATCAGCACAACATTTTCGCATTATGAGTGATAACTCGAAGACAAATGATTCGATCATCATAAAATTATTTCTGCCTGTTCTGTATATAATTTTACATTTAACAAACTATGAGTAAAATTCAACTTTGTTTCTTCACAACGCCGAAATTTTGTCAATTTAAATAAATAGTTAAAAACTAAAAACGGGCTTTAGAGATTTCAAACTAAAAGTGATAAATATCTAATATAAAATGACATAATATTGACTAGAAACACTTGTATTATTTCGAGAAAATGACATGCCTGATATACTAAAATATGGCACAAACCAATCCACATGTTTGCTGATGCGCAAGGAAGTTGGTATGGATGGGCGGAATTGTAACATTGTCACGCCTACAAAATACGCTATTCACTGAAAACATATAAAGTGCCATAACTAGGACTAAAGTAAGAGACAAAAAGTAATTTGGTGCAGCAGATTGTAGTAGCAGGGCAATATTTAAACTTTTTGCTTATTAAATGCTGCGAAATGCGTAAAATCGGATGGCAACTACAATTACTTCCCAACAATTTTTAAATTTCATATGATAGTATTGGAATTGAGAGAATATTTTGTAATGACAGTATTCTTGAGTGGAAATAGGTGAATTGATACATCAATACATAAGAAATCTTAAAGAAACTCGGAAAAATATTTTCATTAACAATGTATACTTGCCTAAAATTTATAAAATCAGGGCAATACTCTAGTCCCCATATATGGTACTAAATATACGGATTTTTAAACATCCGCTTGACTTTGTACCTTATATTGGTAATCTGAGTCTTAATTAAATTCTGAGAGCCTGTATTTCTGGTTATGATATATGTAAAACAAACTGAATAAAATCTTTCAAAATATTCCTTAACCCACATGTACCTTATATAATTAATTTATAGAATTATAAAGAATTTTAGTCTTCCAGTTCCAATATGTAAGATATCCTAGCAAAATTAACTGATAGTTATAATATTGAAATACTTATATAATAAATAAAATGTGAAATAATATTACATACGTTATATATCTTAACAAACCGCTGAAAATAATTGGAGTTGGTTTACATTCTTGTTAATTCATAACTTAATATCATCAATGATCTTCGTTGGACGTTTTCCACATCAACTCAATATGTTGAATTTAGCCCTTTAATTTAGTTTATGTCAACTATATCTATTTGACGATGATTTAACATAATTTTCGCTTTCTTAATATTAAGTTTCAACATCTGAAAATATTTCCCAGCTTTGATTCTTGCAAGTTGTAAGAGTATGAAATGATAAATAGTTTCCGCGAATTGATCGCGCAAAGAAAAACTATTTTTAAACACACTGTACTTCAAAGTTACATGTATGTAATAAATAAGTCTCGCACCTCTAATTTAGACATTATTTAACTTAAACAATTGCTTAACTTTAAATGGATTATTTATCTTATTAAATCACCAAAAAGATAATTAGACATACATATGCGAATTTAGTATACTATATATAAAACAGTTGTGAAATAAAAATAAAATTGTTTCTAACAATAATCCATTTGCATGTAAATAACAAATTCAAGGTCAACTAAAGTGATTCGGATATATATAGCACTGTTGCTTTTATATTAAGTATAGTAACATTGTTACAAAAGTTGTTACTAGTTAAGACGTATATATGAAATTCTTCATCGATTAGCGTATTCTAGCGCTGTACTAATAGGGGTTACTAATCGATAAGTCTTACTAGCAACCCTAACGAATCCACCGTTCTGTACGTCCTAATCGCGGCCCAAGGAGAATAATTATACGACGCGCTAACGGAGGTAATAACAACACCAACAATGGTCGTAGAGTCTGTGTTATTGAAGAAGAAATAATGCAATAACGGAGGCAAATCGGAGGCAATGGCGGAGGTAATGGCGGAGGCAATATCGGTGGCATCGCAGGCGCTATCGCAGCCAGTATCGGGTGGAAGTGTAAAGAGGAAAAACTAAATCGTAGGAATGGATCCCGAGAAATCGAAGAAACAATAGGGGAATATAGCTAGAAGGATCATCGGTTGAAAATTTAAATCGCTTGAGGTTCTAAATTACACTAACATTTTTATTTTATTAATTTAATATCGAATTGACTGTAATAAAGGCGCATCAAACCTAATTTGTTGTTATAACCTGAACAGGATATTTAGTCGCACGAAGTTTTAACACAGAAGGAAACATTGGAGATCTTATAAAATATTATATAAATGATCAGAAGACAAGTGAGATCGATCAGCCATGTCCGTCTGTCTGTAAATAACGGACAGTCCTTCAGATTTTGTGATATCGATCTGAAATTTTGCGCACGTCTTTTCTTGCCATTTGTCGGGACCAATGTACTGACCACTATGGTAAATAGCTGGCATACAAACTGAACGATCAGAATCAAGTGCTTGTTTGGATAACTCAGGCCATAGTTCAGACCGGAGCACCATAACATATAACTGTTATTCAAACTGACCTATCGAAATCAAGTTCTTGTAAGAAATCCTTTGTATTTGTGAGTGTTAGCTTCAGTGCAACCGAAGTAAACGTTGTTTATTATTTTTCTTTTCTTTTTTAACGTAGTCGGAAAAAGTTTACTAAATAATTAAAGAGTGCACGATTTTGACTCTAAAAGATCTCAGAACCTCAACCTAACGTAATAAAGTTTTTATTTATGTGTTATTTCTTCAAAACAGAAGGATAAAAGTGTTGTTATCGACTCAATATATGTATATGGTATATAAATCGATTTGTATACACATTTAAAACCACATATACACAACTAGTGTACAATGACATCTTCAATATACGTGTATATAATCCAGAGGGAACAGATGTTTCAATTAGTTAATGTTTTCGTAGTTTTGTTCAATACTAAGCACCTATTAAGCATTTTTGTTCATAATTTTTATAGGGACTCCCAAAAATTCAAACCTCAAACAAAAATCTCCAATATAAAATTAAAAGGAAGTCGAAGCGAAAATCTAATATTGTCATAGGGGGTATAACTGCCTCTTTAACATAAATTTTCTCTATTGGATATTATTACTGCTATGTGTGGATTTTGATTTTGGAGATTTTGAAATTGGGGATTTCAAGCCTTACCCGTAGTTTTCAGCTTTATCAAATTTCGAAACGCCTAAAGCTCGAACCGAAGGTTGAATTTGACTTAAGAACTTAATTGTAATATTCTTATGGCACAAAATTTTAAGTCCTATAATCAAAGGTAAATTAAAACTATATGTAGCTACCTATTTATTGATTTTAATAAATAGCACCCTGAGTAATATATAACACTTTTAAAAATACGTAAGTATAATATAAGAACTTACTTGGTCAACTGAACCGTAATGGTGGCGTGAAAAAACCCCACGTCTTGATATTAATTCCGTAGCCGAAGAGCTGAAATGAAAGAAATATTACAATGAGAATACTTCACGTTTAAGTGTAATGCTGCTAATAACCGCAATATACTAGAATCATCATGATTAGGTATATGGGAGTTAGGAGTACTGAAGCCATGTTATCAAGTTTTAACACTCGGGCACTTTATTATTATTAGAAGAGACCCACTTAATTTAATTATGGTTGACTGATATTGTCGATACAAGGTCAGAAGTAGATACTGAGTTTCTAGTTCCTTACATGTGGACTTGAAAAGTTATAGTCCGATTTCGATCGTTATTACACGAGGGGTGTCACTATTGGTGCTTGATTTATTTTTTATAAAGAAAAATAAGCTGATGTTATTTAAAATTGTGTTGTATGTGAAATAGGCGAGATAATAGTAATATCAGGATGATTGATATATGCGGCATAAAATCAAAACATTATAAAAAAATCTTTAGTTTTATTTATGTGTAAGTAAAGAGAGGAGTGGAAAATATTTTATGTTTACAAGAATTCAATATTTGTTATTTGACGAAACAGTTAATGGATTAAAATCATGCTCATCACACCTAATACTAAAAATATAAACTGAATGAATATTCAGTTATTTATATTATTTTAAATATTTTATGTATCCTTAAAAGAAAATGTCGAAAACTGCAACATTATATACCATACATATCTGATTTAATAAAACAGACATTAATACTTGCTCTTATAAAACCCTTGTTATACTCTTATATTTTTTTTCGGAATGCTTATAATAGTTTTGTTCACTTAATGGTTGTTTGTATCACCTTAACCTAATCGAGATAGATATTGAGTTATTTATTGAATTTAAGTAAATTTGTTTAGTTTTATTTCTGCGAATTTTTTTTAAAGTGTATGTCTAAAAAACAAACTTATGGAAAGTGTAGTAAAAATAATGAATACAACTTTTGGATACTATTTTTATACATTATAAGTTATTTGATCACAAATTTCTCAGTTTATTGTTTTCATGTCGAGGTGTACGGATAATTTTTCTGGCGAGTGTATACAAAAATGATCAGGATGACGAGGCGAGTTGTATTCCAAGTCACCGTCTGTACAAGCGCTAGCTTGATTAAAAATTGATATATCTTAATGAAACCAGGGGCATGTCTGGGATAAAACCCTTTAAAAAGTGGATGTGGCCCTGCTCCCTAATAAGCTCAATAAACATATCTCCAGAACCACTCAAGCTATAATTATCAAATTCGCACAAGGCAATTTCTTTTGGCATTCCCATTTAACAGCTTTGTTAAAAACTACTACTGCGATAAATTAATACATAAATACGCCTGAGACATAAAATTTGATAATATTTTCTTGATATTCCTATATTAAATCATACAAGAACCACGCCTACTTTCCATACAACAGAATTTTCAATTTCATCTTGTTCTTTCCAGTGAACAAATCACGAACCAATCAATGTATTTGTATGCCACATTTTGACCAAAAATTGTACAAGTAGGACAAAACTATTCAAGCTCACAGATACCGTATATGTGGACGCCTGTTCCTATTGCGAACTTTATACTGAAAATTTCTGATAACCTATCAGATATATTATTGAATTTCGAAAACAATTTTTCCCGGCTTTGATCTTTGTAAGTTGCGAGAGTATAAAATGTTCGGTTACATACAGCTTTGGTGTATATTACTAACTTATATTATAGGCCATAGACTCACTTAGTTTCCTTACTAGGTTTTGCAGCATTTGCGAGATATTTAGCATATATAAAATCAACCTACCAGAGTCTAGACCAATTTCATACATATTTAGCGCTTAACCGCATTATGTTTAAGACACCTTGTCGACTTAATTTCGCTGCGCTATTATTCATATTCCCCGATATAAATGGATAAAAATAAGGTGGAAAGTCTGAAACCACGGTATCAGGCATATTAAGGCTAGAGGAACTGGAGTGTTTACATCCACGTTTGATATTACTCGGTTGTACTCGAGAACATGTTTCCACACACTTTTGTGAACAAATTTTACACATTTTTGTGTTAAACTATAGTATATTCAATATTGACCTTACTTTTTTTAAGATCTCCAAGCGTTACCCTCCAGCGAATCGAACAAACCATACTAGATGCTCAAACAAACGGGTGGCACTTGTGATGCAACCCTGCGCTAACATATCTTCTGATGCATGCGCAATAGTGTTATAATTCTTTCTTAGTAGATACATTTTTTTTTTCATATTAATTATAATAACTGGATATTTTCGGTATAAAGTCAGTCATAAGCACCGAGATTAACACATGCGATATCTGGGACTTAAAACTTCATAGTCGGATATAAAATTTGATTACATTGAAATATATGGCAATAGACGGGTAAATATTCTCACTCAATTAGTATATAGTAACTACATCCCATTAGAACAAAGTACTATTGTACATGTTATATAACTACCCAGTCTGTATTTTATGTGAATCGTATGTTTTGAAGATCAAGTAAGTGCGTATTTAAACAATTGGTACTTTTTTCATATGTGTAATATAATATATTACTAAAAACATTCGTTTATTTAGTAGTTTAACTCATTTGTTTGCATAACATGGAATGTTATTGCTCAAATATTTGCCAAGTTTTAGGAAGAACCACTAATCATAATAAGCTAAAACTAAAAAAAAAATGAGTTCTAGCTACAATGTTTCCAACATTTAAAATAAATATTAAGGCAATTTAAGAAAGTAAGATCAGCTTAACTATTTAAGGTATACTAAACGTTACTAACGGCACAGTCGAAATCTGCCTAACAAAAACGCAACCTGCTGAACCAAAGGCGAATAAAATATGAAAGTGTTACCATCCCTATTGGTGGGTGTATTTGTTGTAACCATCACTACCAGATTTTCGGGTAACGCTCAACCCGCAACATCCCCCACAGGAACGTTAGGATCTAATACACCGGTTACAGCCCCAACAGCCCCAACAACACCATCTGTCACCGCCCCAGCAACAGCTTCTTCACCAACAAGTCCTAGTAGCAATAATGCTGCTGCGAGAAGGAGAAGACGAAGAAGACAAGCTGCTAGAAGAAGACGTGTGGCAAGAAGAAGGCAGCGTCAAGCCCTCCGACGTGCGCGTAGAAGAAGACAACGAAGGAGGCAAAGACGTCAACGCAGAAATCAGAATGGTTAGCTATAACAAAATTTCCTTCAACTCTAATTACTTATATGATGAATGCATTAATATAAAATCTATTTATGGAATACTTTGAGAGTTATTGTATGACATAAGATCATAAAATATATGTATATTTAAGTGAATAGAGGATAACGTAACATCATGGAAAAGTTTTTAAGGTACGCTCGTTTAGTGTGTTTTATTGCCAAATCGCCTTTGTGTGCAATAAAGTGCAGAGGACTGTATGAAAATAGTACCTAAGCGCAATCGATTTAGTATTAGTTCTGAGCCTATGAACCAGGTTTCCAACAGAACATTTTTTATAACAGTTTATTATTAGATAAGTTTCAATAGGAATATTTTTTTATATATTCCTATCCTCTTTCCATCTAAAATTATCTTTCCACAATTTTTATCACTTTAGTACTCACATTAGAGTTAAACGATTATAAAATTCATTACAATCATATTCGAGAATAGATATTTGGTTAGTGATTTATCGCACTTTTAGTAGTTTTCAGCGTAACCGTTATATTGGGGAAGGACGAAGTTAGCATCGGTTTTCACACTGTCGGAGGAGGTTTCGAAAAGATTTGTCTCGAGCAAATTTGATTGATATAGCTTTAATTGTTTGTGGGATATGTCCATTAAACCTATAATAGGCGGGACCAAACCCACCTTTAAAATTAATCAAAATTACAGTTGACCTTCCCTTATGCGATTCGTGATACAAACAACAAACTAGTTTACTCTGTAAAAACTTGTAGACAGAGTATAATTACGAAAGCGTTTTTGTGTTTTATATGGGGGCTCTGTAACTCATCTAAGGATTTCAAAACATTTCGTGACCATTATACCTACTTAAGAAAACATGTTCCCTTAATTTTGTTGATATATCTTATATAATATGAAGTTTTAAAATCATTATATTATGTATATAGGGAATAAAAATAGTACTGAATCGATTTCGTCTATCCTTAGCGCCAGGCTACATTAGTATCAGGAAAGTATTCCCATTGACCGATATTTTCTATATAATGTTTGCTACAGACACTGAGGTTTTCATACATTAATAGCGGTTGGTTATTGTGTGATTTCGACGATATAGATGAGAGATGTCATATCTTTAAAAAATTGTATACCGATATTTTTTGGTGCTTTATATATTTATTAGTATGTCAGTATTGTATTACACGTGAAGTAGGTGTAGTTGAAGTTGAAGTTCCATTTCGCCCATTTTCAAGTTGAAACTTTTATATTTTGAGGAAATCCTATATTTCGAAGTTGGTATTGTACAAATTAGAATTTTTCGTCATGATGTTTGCAGCTCTATTTGGTGAAAACGAATCGATACCACCATTTGTGGATAGTACCGCATATGGTTTATGGTTTTGTTAAAACCATGAAAAAATCTTTTTTAAATTAGACAAACTTTATTATAGTATAAATGAATACGCTTCATCTGAGCAGCATGTTGTACAAATATTAAAGTTTAGTTAACCCCACACTTTCTTGGGACAGCTTAAGTCAAGATAGACATAATTTTATGTGGTAATTATTATATTTATATTATATATTATTATATATACTAATTATCTCAGTAATAAAAATTATTATATATTGTAACTTCCACTTGGGATCTAGTGTACACAAAATTTGAAATTTCAAAAGTTTTGAGAATGTTTCACTTAGGATAATTTGATTTACTGTGAAAGTTAAGAAATTGCCCAACTATCTCTGCCAATTATTGGATTAGTGAATATAAATCTTAAAAAATTTAACATAGATACTCCAAATAGATACTAATACAAACATAATTCCCGTAAATTAATTTGCTGTTGAAAATATTTGAGGTTCTCTATGTTTGAAGCAGGCAAATTTAAACAATTTTCTTCGTACAAAAGATACCAGTTATACGAATGCACCATAAGCCCAGTTGCATTTGCCTCAACAATCAGCTAGTTTGAGGCTTTCATTTTTGGTCTCATTTCCCCAATGGAAAATGATTTAAAAAGCGGAAATACATATTTTATTCACCATGCTGCTGCAAGTGGATATTTGAAGTGAATTTCTCAACCTTGACTTTGCTTCCTTCTCTATGGAAATGTATTTCTCACTACAACTTGGCATTGTTTCAATTTTCCCGCACCTCTACCTCAACTTATACTTGAGTCTTTCCAATTTGTTGATATTTCTTTTAATTTTTGTGCTTTATTGGGGTGCTATGAAGAGCTTTAAATATGCAAGTGATGAACATAGATTTGTATTGCGTGGCCGTATTTTTATAAAATTCGCAACACGTTGCACTGTGAATAATAGTATTGTGCACCTAGCGATTGTTCGATTGAGATAAATATTTATAATATATATACTATATAATAAATATAATAAATATATATTTATATACATATATTTTGATATCAGATGATAAGGTATTAGGTTAGGATAATTTAACCTAGGTATAGAGGATCATAGTAAGGAATGGTTTAAAAATGTTTGTAAATGTAGGCCACACCCCCTAAAGAGTTTGAAGCACATACCTATTGTATTTTGCAAACTAGTTAAGCTTTCCAAAGATCCTCTTCAAAACTACTAAAAGTGCAATTACGCTCTTACGAGCTCAGCCCAGAGACAATTAATTTAATCGTAAAGATAGTACCTAGCCGGTATTTTAGACCGTTATGTTCAAAGATCCGATCAGTTAGAAACTTTTTGATTAGCTGATTTTGCATCTAGGTATAAATATTTTAAATCTAGTAGAAGAGCACAAGATAGTGATCATGAAGAAGAAGAGAGGGAAGACGATAATTTACCAGAAAGGGTTGTCATGCCTCTTAAAGACGGTGGCTTGTGAAAAATCAAACCTTGTATTATCGGTATGTATTTACCCAGATTTGGCCAGAGTTCAGTATTTCGCGAAATGTTAATGCTTTATACCTTGGCGGAATGAAAGCAAGATCTCATTGTAAAATAATGAGCAGACTATTGTGAAAATGAGTTCAGAGTGTTGGCACTTCCAGAAATAAACCCAAATATAAATTTGTTGACTTGCATGGCGAAGATTCAACAGATATGGCACTGAATCTGATTGCAATATTAGACTTATTAAATACCCCTTTAATTCCAGTTGAGGAATTATTTTCTTAGTTCAACAAGCATCCTCAAAGAACCTATTTGAATTTGATGCACCACCTAAAACAAATCTCTATTTATGAGTTCATTTTCAATATAAAAGAAATGAACAAATTTCAATTGAAAATCAGTTTCAGTTGTTCCGGCTGAGGGTAACTATTCATAAAAGTCAGGGTGCACATATAATAAAGTTGTAGTTCATACTGACCCAAATGCTAGAGCTTCAATATATGTCGCTTGTAGTCGAGCTACTTGCAGAAGGTCTATTCATTATAGGAAATTTATTCCTCCTAAAAATTTTCTGAATCGGATCCCGTATTTAGGGAACTGAGGGAATTGAACACAAAAGATTTACAACAAGTTTCAGTTTATGATTTCCCGAACATCAGGACATCAAATTTATTCCATAATGTTCAAAGTCTTCACGCTCAATTAATGATATAAAGCACTGTTTCATCTTCAGATATTTTATGTTTGTAGAAACTTGAGTTATCCTTGCGAAAGTTTTGATATACCAGGATTTACTCCAATTAACGAGCTGAGGATAGATAGCACGGAAACAAGCAACAGAAATAACGGGCATTATAATATATGCAAAGCATAGTATTGCTGTCTATAGAAGCTGTAAAGAAAATTTATTCAGCCGCAAAGTTTTAGAAGCGGTTTTTAAATGTTTCAATATTAGTATTCTGTTCTACAGAAAATCAGCTTACTCTGTCAGACATTTAATGTAGAACTTCAGGAAGTCCCTATATATGAATATGTAAATAATCTAATTAAAAATTTAAATTATATATATAATTATTATATATGACATTTGTATAAATATATGATTAGAAAGTATAAGGAAAAGAAATATAATTTGGATATGTATAAGAATCTCTACAAAATTTATGTTTAATATTGTAAATATTATATACAAATTAATATAATAATATTATATAATTTTTAAAGTTGTTAATATGTATTATTTTTAAGCTAAACATGTATAATAATATCGATATAATAAATAAAAAATGTTATTCATTGTCCAAAAACGATTTCTTTTCATACTTTTCGGTACAGTTGTAATGCATTCTATATAAAATCAATTATAAGCATATACAAAAAGCACAAGAACGATTGCTCATAATTTGAGTAAATTTAGTTTAAAAATTGCTCTAATTATTTTCACTGTGAGTGAAAATTAAATAACTAAGGCAACAGTTCCTACTTCTCATTATTAAAATATATAAAGAAGTCTCAAACGAATATACCATTTAACTTTGCGAGAGTATAAAATGTTCGGTTACATCCGAACTTAGTCTTTCCTTACTTGTTGTTTGTTTGTTTTGTTTTTTCTGAGTCATGGTCCGCAATTCGTCATAGCTGAAAATTGTCAGTTATGACTGAAACGCTATCAGAAGTGAAAAATTATTTTGCGGAGTAGATTATATAATTTTTATTTCTTTAATAAAATTCAAAATTTTTATCAAAATGTGTCTACGTCTTTCTCCAATCAGTGAATAGTTCTGAATTTAAAAATGCAAATGTAGTCAGCAGTTTCTTGTAAGGTACGTTTAGGCGTATGGAATGTAAACAAATTGTCAACTGACTTTTAGGGCTGGCAAAATATGTCTTCTAATAATATCGATTAAACTAGAGCAGGCACCGATTATAATGAGTGGAATATAAGTTTTCAAGGGGTTTTCAGCGAAAACTGTGTTTTCGTTTGACAGATTTTGTATGGATGAAAACACAAGTTTTCGCGTAAAAACCTCTTTTGTCTATGAAAACACGAATTTTGTGTCGTTGCGAACATAGTATAACAGTTTGAAAATTCTCGAAAGTGAACTAAAAAAATGCCTATTTACTATATGACACTATTGTAAATTTCATTAGATTTTACCAGAATGATCGAATAATTATACAAGGTATAGTAAAA